ATATATATATATATATATATATATATGTGTGTGTGTGTGTGTGTGTGTGTGTGTGTGTGTGTGTACAATAAAATGTGACGAGGAATGGGAATAAAATGGGAATAAAATAAAAACATGAGAATAATAATGTTTTACAGTGTTAATTAACAAATTACAACCTTTTTCATTTAAATTTTTACTAGATTATTTACAATAATTGTACTGATGTGGGTATTAAAATTCACTTTACGTATATATTACAATTATATATATATATATATATTTTTTTTTTGCCTTTTTTAAATAAATTTAACAAATTTACGAAATGACGTATTTTACGAACATTTTATTTTATTAGGTTCATTAATACTTGATCTGTCTATACAAATAATAATCAATATAAAATATTTTAAACTACAAATAACTATATTGACCGTAATGTTAAATTGCAATTAATTATATAAATAGAATATAACTGTGAAAAATATTATGAAAAATTTTGATAGATTATTGGGGATAGTTGCATTTCAAATAACTTTGAAAAAATTCCTATTTACACAATAACGAATCGATATCAAACTTAATAAAAGAACATTTTTAAATCAATTTTTAAACAAATTATTTTATCGTAGTATTTATATAGAATGGATTTTAGCTTGATTTCTCATCTCATATTTGCAATATATTATAGAGAAAAACTGTTAAATTAAATAATTTACAAGATGTATTAGAGATTTTGCAAATGCACGATCTAATAGTTAAACTATAAGAAATTAGAATTACTTGAGAAAATGTGATATACTGATGCAATTTGATATAAATATGAACATTAATAATATTAGGAAAAACACTTTTGTATTTATATTAAAACTATTAGTTATAAGGTATATTTAAAGGACATATTTTAAGGCTTAACAAAATTTCATTTTCATTAATAAAAGCAATTTTTAACATTTCTTAAGTAATTCCACTATTTATTCTTAATACATGTAATAGTGATTTTTTTTTATATTCAAATATTTTTTTTTATATTCAAATATTTTTTTTTATATTCAAATCTTTTTTTTTATATTGAAAAATGAGAATACAACAATATAAATACACATTATATAATATTCGATACAAACGCCATTCCACAATCGTAAGTAAATATTGCAATAATAAGTAAAATTATCCAGCTTATTCGATCACTTTCGCCTTAATCTTTTGCCACAATGATCGTTCTCGAGCATTTAATTCCAAAGCCAAGGCATATAAATCCAGCATTCTAAATAAACTTTTTTTTTCTAAGTGCCAAAGCGAGATTCACCATAGTGCGCGAGCATCATTGTGCTGCAAATGTAATTACTCTTCTTCTATAATGTAATACAAACTATTCCTGGCAAAACTTCCGTAAGCAACGTTTTTTTTTTTTTTTGTTTTTTTTTTATCAATGCCTTTATTCCTTAATTGGAAAGTAACGGAATGCTTTGTCGATTCATTATTAGGAAATGAAGACCACGTACCCCTTCTAAAAAGGCACGTAGAGTCATAACCGGGCAGATCGATCCGGGTTCCCTGCCCCGATACTTACCAATCAACTCATATCCTTGGTACATCGCTTTTTCACAGAGTCACCCCGGCGCTACGTGGAGGGCGAGGTGACGATCCACTATCGCTCGCCGGTTCGCGCGGAGGCCAAGGAGCCGCTCAGCGAGGAGGAGTTGGCACGTCGCAGCGCCGAGAACATGCGTCGCGTCTATCAGGGAGAGCGTAGGCGCAAGTATCTCCAGGAACTGCACGACATCGATTCGCGTCGGCACACCGACAACTTCATGTAAGTCGCCGGAGTTTCTGAGATCGATGGGCCATTACCGACCGAGCCCTATGTCTTTTTCCTTCCGTTCCTTGGCTTTATCGAGGGAGCGAGTCTTCGACTTATTTAGCTTATTCGCCTACTGATGCTGCGTGATAAAAATCTCTGTTTTACGTGAGCCTTTTGATTCTCATGCATTGTTTTAACAGTGCAGGCTATAAAGTTAGCTTCGCTGTTAAAAAAGAGGCAGAAAAACGAGAAAGTAATGCGAAGCTAACAGCTAAAAGTGGGTAAAACAGTAATATTTACTTTACAAAAACAACGTGGAAATTAATAATATTTAAGTAGCAAAATTATAATTAAAAGCTTGCATTTCTTTGGAATACGCTTATTTTAATTTACGTTTAAAGCCATTGAATCTCTACACCGTTCGTACGATCTTTATTAGCATCGAATTATGCTTATTATTGATTATTGAATAAATGAAATTGAATTATCATATAATTCTATCAAACTTATCAAATAATCACCATTAATAATGCATCATTAAATTATGCATTAAACTAAATAAGCAATTAAATTAAAAATATATGATCGTCGTCAGTTTCGCATTTGGTACGATGAATAATAATCAAAATTTCATGTAGCATGTTTTATATTTTTAAATCGATGTGTTAAGACAAAAAAAGTTAACATTATACATGCAAAAATTAATGTCTATTTATTACGTATTACAAGGAATCGTAACGATATGCTAAGTGTAAGCTAATCCTACTATATAAATATTTGTTGTCAACGTGCATGTTTTTAAATGTTTAATCAAACGTAATCTAAATCGAAAATACCTCGTCGCAATTCAATAAATTATCTATATCGAATAGTATGTGGAATTATTCGTTCAAATAAATAAAATGAAAAAAAAAAGTACGGTAGTATATTTTCAATGCAATGTTAATTAAGCAATAAATTAAAATATGAAAATAAATTCCTTATTATAAATATTTTTAGCATGCTACAAATGAAAGTAAAATTAAAAATTCCAACATTAATCATTCATAAAATTCAACTTTATAATCAAAAGAATGCTCATTTGATACTCTTCTTTCGTTATTAAAATAATATTCAAAAAAAAAAATAAAAAAAAAATAATAATTTATAATAATAATAATAATAAATGCATTTTTAAATAAATTATCGAAAAATCATATTGACATTCTATCTGTTATTTATATATAAAAAAAAAAGTAAAGAAAAAAAAGAAACAGAAATACTAAAAATATTCATAATTCGGCTAATTAGGCTAAATTTGATTTGATCAAATAAGACGTAAAGTATTCCTAGAAAAAGCCACCCATCCACGAAAATGTACAAACTAATATTTCCCTTGGATTTGTATAGACCGTCGGAAAAGTCTCCGATCCCGCTGGACTTCATCGACGACCTGAGCTACCGAAGCAGATCGCAGGAGCAGACGCCGGAGCCGCGTCTCGTCGCCCGGGCGCTTTACAATTTCGTCGGCCAGTCGCCCCGTGAGCTGACCTTCCGCCGAGGCGATCTGATATTTGTGCGCCGCCAGGTAGATAAGAACTGGTACGAGGGCGAGCACAATGCCATGGTCGGACTCTTCCCCTTCAATTACGTCGAGGTACCTACCTTTTTCCACCATCGACCTCTCTACACGCCGACCTTCGCATTACTACAAAATCGATAATTTGCGAATGAATGGCCTTGCTTTTGTCACAGCTTCGGATAGTTAGTTACCTGCCAAACTAATTTCCAAACTTAATGTTTGAATTAATTGAATTTTGCGAAGGACGAGTCAAGCGTACAATTTGCTTTTTAATAATGCAATTGATAGTTGAGCGTAATTCGTTAGGTCGTCGTTGTATGTCGTAGATTATGAGCAATGGCTATTTAAATATTCGATCGAGTGAGCGATATTTGTAATATTAATAATAGTGGATAATGTATAATATTCAGGCATTTAAGAATAATCTTTTTTTTTTTTATTAGTGTCGTAGCGATTAGTATAATTATATAATTTGTCGACCAACCTGTCCTATTACTACGTTATAGTGAGCATTAACGTAATATAAATAAGGACAAAGAAAGAAGAAAAATGCATTTGAAGACGTTTACGATTTTTATATTTTATTTTGTTTTATTATTATTTATTTATTTTATTTTATTTTTTTTTGTTACACTTTATTTAAGATATTAGTTAATTATTATTAAGACGTCGTTTATTTCCATGTTTGATTGTTTCCAATTTTTTAAATCCACGTGTATCAGTATTTATGAAAAATTTATTACATATATTAGACATATTATTTATAATATATTTATTAATATAGATTATTCCGTACGATGAAATACGCACGCTACCAAAAAAACCGTACGAGGGTCAGGCGAAAGCAAAATTCAATTTTGTTGCTCAGACGAATCTTGAATTATCTCTAGCTAAAGGTATTTTGTGGAATTTTCTTGTACGATTATTTTCATTATTCAACGCTCTAAAACAACATAATATTTGATTTCAGGTGAACTAGTGTATTTGACTAGGAGAGTCGATGAAAATTGGTATGAAGGTCGTATTGGTGGCAGGAAAGGAATATTCCCCGTTTCCTATGTCGAAGTCATCAGTGAACCTGGTCACAGGCCTGGTAAGCCTGTTGATGGTTCAATAAGTATTAAAATGTCCTATACTTCTATGAGCTTTGAGTGTATGATGTGCGCGATTAAGAGAATTTTCTAATGTCTTAAAAATAATCTCTTAAGAGAAATAAGACAAAATGAAAAAGAAATAAGAAAAACCTTAATACGCATTAAAATAATTGATTCGGTCTCGAAAATTAAAAAAGTCCAATATCACTCTTTTCGAATATAAAGTGAAAAACCTTATTGTCCTTGTAATAAAACCTCGTACCTGTCAATAAATTAATATTTTACTGCAATTTTTATATTTAGAGACACCAATTCAAAGCAAACCTGTTGCATCCCCCGCTGCTCACAGCCTCTTGTCCAATGGAACATCGAGCGGGAAGATGAGTATGGGATCCCATCATTATTCGCCCTCTTTGCCAGTTAATATCAACACAAATCAGCCCCATTATAATTCACTGGTAAGCCAAATATTTTCAGCATTAAACTCCTATAAAGGCCGATTTTAAGTTAAGGACTGATACCTAATGTAATATTCCGTGATTTTATAGCCAAAAGGAGGTAGTAAATTGCATGTAGCACCAGTTAATGAAACTTTACACATTGATACACACACCGAGCCTATTCCGTAAGTATTTGTCTCCTCATTTTTACAATTATATTATAATTTTAAGAATTTATTAATGCATTGAAAATTAGAGGTTAAATCGGGTCTGTTATTGATGGAAAGGGATATTGATCATGTAGAAAGCTCGTTTATTCAAAATAATATTTATGTTTGCGAGTCGTTTCTTAAAAAAAAACAAAACGAAAACAAAACAAAAAAAAACAAAAAAAAATCTAATTTACTTGAAATAAAGCTTCGCTTTAGTATAGATGGGGTAGTTCGTAAATTCCAACTAAGTCAAACGAAGGACGATGTTTTAATTAAGTTAAATTATAAAGTTGTATTGTCATTGCGTTTTGTAAAAATATTTTTGACAAGAGGAATAAGTAATTCCCTCGGCAATACGGGCATTAAATTGTAATTGTTAAGCTCAAAGGGGCTTTAAGAAATGGAGAACAAAAGTCCCTTTCGCACAAAAGGCCTTTTCAACAAACTGCCCGCACACATCTTCAACATTAAAGCTAAAAATCCAAACAAGCTAGCCTCATTGGTGTTTAATTGTATTTCGTCTGCAAGTTTACGTACCACCCTAACAACAATGTAATGCTTAAACAAATTGCTCGGCAGGTATCGCGCTCTCTACAACTACCGGCCGCAAAACGAGGACGAGCTCGAGCTCAACGAGGGTGACACGGTCTACGTGATGGAGAAGTGTGACGACGGCTGGTACGTCGGATCCTCCCAACGAACGGGCTACTTCGGCACCTTCCCCGGTAATTACGTCGAGTGCTTGTGAGGTCGGCTCAAGTGCCGGGACCCGGAGCGCCTCAAGCCCTCCTAGGGTACGGCCCGGCGCTCGCGTATCGTCGAGCGCATCCTCGCGGCCTTCGTGCCCAGCGGCTTCGGCCGCTGCGGAACCGTCGACCACGAGCTCTGATCGCGAGGACATCACATCGATCAATTATCCAAAGATAATAGCACCCGCGCCGATGCATCGCCTCGCTGTAAGGAATCGGGCATCTTATGTGCGCCTGCGGGGGACGACCTGGGGGCTCTTTTCCCGCGCGAAAGGTGAATATTCTTCGGGACATTTAATGCGACTTCGCTTCGATTCTTATCCCGCCACCGAGATATTTGAGCCAAATCTCGAAAGCGCCGCCTTCTTGTAATCTATGAATATTGGCTTGATACTACTGCGATACTACTGCCCGCCAAAAGACGGGGGTGGGGGAGACGTGGATCGGGAGAGATGGATCGTGTACTTTTAAAAGATCGATGTGTTTCGAAGGGTACGACGGATGGGGGTTGATTCGAATTGACGTACATCGATTTAATTATTATGTGCTCAAGATGCCCCGTGTCAGAGACGGACTAATATGTTGTAAATACCGTTGGAGAAAGAAAAGAAAAACAGTCTTCCTGCAATTATGAGCGAGTCTTACGTATCGTTGTAGTCTTTTAGAATTAGATTTTTTCTTCTTCGTGTCTGGATGATGTGCTTAATGCTAAATGATCAGCTAAAGTCGGAGTTTAAGAGAAAAATATTGAGAGTAAAGGCGAAAAATTATATGAAGCTCATTATTATAAACGAGGCGTATTCAATCATAGGCTATAAAAGAAATACTGCATCTACCAAAAATGAAATGAAATGAAAAATTATGAATTATGACGGTTATGGAGATACCAAATTTTTGGATCTGTAAGTTAACATGTAAGTAGTGTACAATAATATCGTAGAGTACTCTCACTATATATGTAAAAAGCCACGTATAAACAAATCGTATAAAGAAATGCACATTTTCACGCTTTGTTTTCTTTGAAATCGGCACGACGATTATTCGCATTAAAATAATTGAGCAGGTGTAATTATTACTTACCTTGTCGACAATATTTATTTCTATATGTATATCTCTGTCTGTCTGTCTGTCTAACGGTCTGTGTGTGTGTGTGTGTGTGTGTGTGTGTGCGTGCGCGCGCGCGCTTACATAAATATGCAATTTTTTAATACAAATTTGACACAAGCTGTCAACTGAAAAATTGTACTATGAATTTCTTAACTATCACTTAACACATGCGCGCACATACACAAAATTGACATATATATATATATATATATATATATATATATATGCGCGCGTGTGTATAATTTTTAGGATGCAAAATTAATATAAAATAGTAAAACAAAACTTCTATATAAATTTATATATTGTAGATAAGGTAAAATCTTTTACATCTTCTCTTATTTAAGCACTGCAATTGCTTGAGGCATATAGCGTCTGGAATTAGCGTGCGAGTTGAAAAAAAAAAATTAATCAAAAGGAAGTAGTTATACGAATAGCGGATGCGAAGTTTCTGTCGACCAAAAAATTTACAATAAGAACTCGATAAAGTTCGAACGCTCAAGTGTATGTTATTGAGCTTACTTTTTATGCTATGCGAAATATTTAAATATTAATCGTAAAGAAAAATATTATCTATTAACAATGAACTATATACTATTCGCAAGAAACAGAGATGAGTCAAATATTAATGAAGAGCGCGTACTTCGTTATGAGTTGAATTTGTATTTATGTAACGAGAAATTGTTACTTGATTTTGAAATACTTACAAGGTCATTTTGACTAACGAAAGAAATATTTATGCAAAACTAAACAATTTATTACGCGGTTGCACCTTTATAATTCATAATATTCGCCTTCCCAAATTCGTATTTTTGTAACGGATTATTTGTATCTCTACACAATGTCGAAAGTTTGAGTAAAGCACAAATTGAAATATACGTTGTTTTAAAATGGAACAAAAGCAGTGCGTAAAGTGAATTATAAAATGATAATAATGCTAATGTAAATTTCTCGCTACATATTTCGAGTGAGCCTTTATAGTATGCAAAAAATAATTGAAAAATTTGCGAAAAAACCTACACTTTATTTAACATTGTTCTGCTTTAGATGCGACGCTGTTGCTTGCTCTGGTGTCTTTTTGACATGAAAATGTAAATCGGCCTTGAAAACTTTTATAACCAATAGATAAATTAGATTAATTATAAGATAAAAAACAAACAAACAAACAAAAAAAAAAAAAAAAAAAAAGATTTACAGATAAACAAGCCGAATTCATGACATATTCAATCGATTTTTAAATAAAAATCGATATTCAATTATGTGGTTATTTGAGTTATTATTAAAAATTAGCTAAATAGGTCATATTTCAACATTAATTGTTATACATGACCATTATTGTTATTATTTTAAGTTTACTTAATACGTAAGATTTAAATTTTAAGTTAATAAAGAATATATGATATTTTATTGATTAATAATTATGTACACATTTTATTATGCAATGTTTTTTAAGATTCTAATTAGTAATTAGCTATTTATTGTTAATGTATACATATTTTAATAGTTTATTATTGTTATTTTTTAATCTCTATTGTGGTTATTAAATTTAGAGATCATTCTTTATTGCGTTACAACTAAAATACTCAACTTCATTAGCATCACACTAACAATATAATATATTACGGAGTACTATAACAACATTATAGTAAACCATCATTAGCTTATCACGAATATTAATTAAAATTTACAGGAATAAAATTTTGAATTAGTATTTCCGAAAAATCTCCATTCAAATCTAATAACTCATGAAATGATAAATACATTCACTTATATGAATAAATCCTAATAAAAATTAGGAAAATACATATAATTCAGAGATTTTCTAGAAAGTGATCAGAAAACACCAAAGGGTCTAGTAACATCGTCGTTAAAGTTATACGTATTTAATCAATAGCAAAAAATAACAAAAATAATAAATAAATAAAAAATAATAAAAAAGAAAACTAAATAATAAACTGGATTATATGATTTAATGTGAGCTAGATAATTAATTATCTTACTCCAGTACAAGGCGTCGGATCAATCGGCGAAGTTCAAAAAAAGAGACAATATTACCGTTCTAATGGACGAGGAAATTACTTATAGAATCGCGATTTATTCTGAATAAGAAATATCGTTAAAAACTTTAATGCAATAAAGAATTTTTTTAACGGATGATTGGAAGTAGCTTATAAATATGTTATTTTTATTTTGTTATATTAAAAACGTGCAATTTTAGTATAATATTAATATGAGGTTGTTGATTAAAGACATTAAATGTACGCAAACTGCGCAAAATAATTATATGCAATATTTGTAATTCATTTATATTACATAAAAATATCGCTCAATACTGACTGGCTTTTAAGTGCAGTATATATGTATACCAATATACGAATTTTATATATATTTCGTTAAAATACTAGAAAAATTGTCTATTTCGAAAATAAATATTATGTAGATACATCATTATTAATATATTACACTTTTTAAAATGTCTTATTTCACCCAATAATAAATTCCAGTAATAATTTATCATTCTATCTAATACATACATATATATATATATATATATATATATATATATATATATATCAAATATAAAATATCTTTTAAACATTTGTATATATTTATATCTTTTTTCAACATGCATCTTATTTGTTACAGACAGTAGTACAAATTTTTAAGTATTCAGAATACACATGATTGTATACGTATTATTCCTAAGCATAAAAAAGACGCAATGAGAGTTTTCGTGTAAAATGAAAATGAAATGAAGGCAGGGATATAAAGACGAGAAAAAGAATAAAAAATGAGAAAAAGAGTTTCTGCGAGCTTCTAGTCGGCACTATATGAAACACGTGTGTGCGCTGGCTTCGCTGGCCTCCTCTTGTTACTATTAATGTTTTAACGGACACGCAAACACATGTACACGAATGCAACACACGCGACGTTGCAGAATGAGAGGGTGTGTGAAAAATACGTGGACACAAACACATTGGCACGTATAACTCGGGCTTTTGCCGATTTGTGCGCCGGCACATCTGTCAAAACATATCTTCTCGGAAATAATGTGTATCTTTAGAAGGAACGAAAGGCGGAGAATTTTCAAAGGGAAAGAGAATCATATTTATCGTCGATTGGAAAGGCGCTAATCCATCTTAGAATTTTTCAATTTTATTTCAGAGAGAGAGAGAGAGTAATTTATTAATTAACTAATTAGTTGGGTTTTCTTAAGCATAGGCTATTGCAAAAAGAAAGCAAATAAGATAGATAGATAGATAGATAGATAGAGAGAGAGAGAGAGAGAGAGAGAGAATGAGAGAGAGAGAGAATGAGAGAGAGAGAGAGAGAGAGCGAGTGGGAAAATTAGACATTGTAAAAGAGTATTTTTTAGTATTTTATGTATTAATTTTCTTCTATTATACATCTGAGATTTTCAGTAAGCTGAATAACAACACGTGGAAGATACATTTTGGCTTTTCTCTTTTTAAATTTACGTCGATTATAAGCTGCGTTAATTAGCACTAACGATGTTACTATGCATTGTACACTTCAAATACAAATAAAGCCTAGTCTAATAATATTTTTTTAGTGCATAATATTTATTTTATTCCTATACGTCATAAGTGCCTTTACATTCTGAGCGAACGATAGCTTTTATGCTATTAATAGATATGCTAGAAGAATATTATAATATATTATTTGTATTAATAACTTAATAAATAATAAATTTAATGATTTAAATAAATAAACTATCTTTTTAATCTTTTAAGCGGTACAAAGTATAAATTCAGATGTTTACTGTAAACTATCAAAATATCGTTGTTGAAAGACGTTGGAGCATTTCACTTCAACAACAGTTATATTTTTCTAAAAATATAGAAGGGGAAATATAAATATATTTATATCGATATTATTCTAGAATGTCGATAAATCTGTCATTTGTAGAATACAATTAAAATGAAATTTATCAGTAAATTACTATTTTTGTATAATTTCATAATTCATAAAGATTTTTGCATACAATACAATGTATTATGTATTTTATGCAAATTATAAAGTAACTTTTCATATTTTAATCTTAATACTTCATAATTATTCTTATATCAGGTATTTATCATTCATCGTTTATATTAAAAGTTTTTTTTTTTTTTTAATTTCATTATTTATTTGTTTTTTGTTTTATTAGTTGCTTACTGCCAATATTAACTTACCATTGTTTTGAAAATAAAAAAATCATTTATAAAATTTCTAGCTAATTGCTGTTATCTACAATATACATCGGTAATACTTTCATTAATGCATTCATGATATAACCAAGATGTATGTTACAGAAATATTTATATAATAAATTTGTATAACTATAAATTTTTTATTCCACTGACTTAATTGATTAATTTCATTGGTTAAATTAGAATTATTTGTTTGTAGATTAAAAAAAAAAAAAATTTTTAAAGGAAAAATACAGACTCTATAAATCCAATTTATCGACTTATTTAAAAAATCTTTTTATTATTAATTTTATTTTAACTTTAATTAAGTATTTAAAAGTATATATGAATAGTTTGACTTATCGGACAAACTAGTGAAGAAATTTTTAAAACGATTTCATAGAATTTACTAAGATTAAACAATTTAATAATCGATAGTATGCAAAATATATAGGATTAAATAATATGGTTAGAAAAATATTTTTGACATTTGAAGTACACGAGAAAAAACTAAAGTACATGCCTAAATAAAATATTATGTTATAATGTGAAACTTAAAAGTAAAATTTATTAAATTAAAGCATTAAAGTATACTTTTTCGTACAATATTGTTTATCTCCGTAATATATTTTTATCTTTAAAATACTTCAAAACTATTATTGTAGAATCATATTTCTAAAAATATTATTCAAGCGACTTTCCTCCTCAATCTATGTTTCAAATAATATAATATTGTATAATCTTTCATAAAGAATACTTTATTTTTTATAATTAATATTTAAATTTGACATAATATTTTATACTGCAAGCCAATTACGATTTAGTTCTTTTTTTTTAATTTTTTTGTTTTTTGTTTCTTCTAACAATGCATACAATATTAATTTGAAGTGATCGTTCTTTCAAATAAAATTTATATTCATTATTTCAAAACGACACATCTTTTTCATCTCGATAAGTACTAATTAGATAGAATAAAAACGTAAACTAGAGATAAGAACACGTAGCATTTTACATTACATATAAATAAATTATTTCTCCGTATTAAATGTTTCGCGATACCTTTAACAAATTAAAGTTTTTCTATCACGATCGATCTACATATAAGATTATTCTTGAAATAAAATTTCAAATATATATTATTGTTATTTCGCAGAGCCAATGAAAGTACAATATGCAAAATTCAATATTAGCCCAAGGATTTAATGTAAAATGGATAACCAAAATGCATAGGACACTCTTGGCAATTCATGTTTGTCATTAAAATTGCGCATCAGGTGTCCTCGCGCATACTACTTTACAAAGTAATCGAATGTTTCTTACACAGCAACATTCGTTATATCCGATGTACGAGAATCTGTGGTGGTACTTTCTTTTAGTTCACTCGTCGGTACTACTTGTTTTCTTTACGTGTTTGCTGCAGGCTGAGGACGAAACTCCGTGACAACTGATGCGCAATCTGATTCGTTTATGGTTTCTACGTACGGAGCTCGGAAGAGTTGAAGTTGTAGAGGATGAGAGCAAAGCCTAAACAAGAATAAACGAAGACAACAATTTTCCAGACTGAAATACGGAAATCCATAAATGTTTGCGCGATTCTGCGTGCTCGATACTATTGAAAACTCAGTGAAGGTAACGTTCGATCGTATACGCGAGTTTGACTTGATAGGACCGAGTTCAAATTGAATTATACATTTTTCTTAATTAACTATATTAATTAACTATAATACGTGTGCCGTATACTTAATTATTAATTATTTTTATGCACTAGTGGTATTTGTCTAGTTGTATCGCGTAAATTGTAATAAGATTTATAGTTTACATAACGTAAATACATTATGTAGTCGCAAATTAAGTTAAGGCGTGTACTTTTGATAAATATCTCGAGAATATATAATCTTATCTGACATTAAGTTAAGTATGATTTCACACATTAGTGATTATCAACATGTTCAATACACAATGACAAGTAAATAGACAAGCGATCGTTAGTAGGCTTCTTAAAATAAATGAAAGCCAACACATACGGCTTATTACCCAGATAGTGGCATACTATTATTATTATTATTATTATTACTATTATTATTATTATCATTATCATTATTATTATCATTATTATCATTATTATCATTATTATCATTATTATCATTATTATCATTATTATCATTATTATCATTATTATCATTATTATCATTATTATCATTATTATCATTATTATCATTATTATCATTATTATCATTATTATCATTATTATCATTATTATCATTATTATCATTATTATCATTATTATCATTATTATCATTATTATCATTATTATCATTATTATCATTATTATCATTATTATCATTATTATCATTATTATCATTATTATCATTATTATCATTATTATCATTATTATCATTATTATCATTATTATCATTATTATCATTATTATCATTATTATCATTATTATCATTATTATCATTATTATCATTATTATCATTATTATCATTATTATCATTATTATCATTATTATCATTATTATCATTATTATCATTATTATCATTATTATCATTATTATCATTATTATCATTATTATCATTATTATCATTATTATCATTATTATCATTATTATCATTATTATCATTATTATCATTATTATCATTATTATCATTATTATCATTATTATCATTATTATCATTATTATTATTATTATTATTATTATTATTATTATTATTATTATTATTATTATAGAATGGTCTTTTCATATGTAAGAACCAACAAATAAACGGATTAATGGCTAAATTAGCGATAAAACTTATCCTTGCCAAATTTCAAGCTCTCGATTACCGAAGTAGAAGAACCGGGCTAAGTAGAGGCCAACTCACTTGGTTTGGTCGATGGGTGGAGAACCACTGGCCCGGACAGACGGCGATCCTCGTGCACCTGCGCTGCGTCGCCGGCTGCTTCCGGTCCCTGCACTTGGTCGGCGGTACCGTGTTCCGGTACACCCTTAGCTCGTTATTACGCGTTACCTGACGCTCGGTGAAGCTCGACCGCACGCAGTAGAGCCTCCGCTGTTGAGTTCCCCCGGTCGCCGAGCAGCTCGGGGCGCTGCACCGCTCCCACATACCCGGGATCCATGTGTACACCTCGCAGCTACAAAAAAGGACACGCGCCATTATTTTGGGAGGCGGGCTTGCGTGGGTCTTGGACGGGACTGCTAAGATTGAGTTGATGACTCGATGGACGCCCTATTTAAGTCGCCGTATCATGATCGCTCTGCTTGATTAACTCGACAGAGATGAAAGATGCAATGTTGGGGGTTTGCAAAGGATATATTTGCGAATGCACAACCCTCGACGATTATGAGGGCAGGATTTTTAAATCGGGAGTATCGGTTGCAATTACAATGGAGTCCTGAGTGGAATAATCGATGGTTACATTGTCGATGAAGCGATGAATATTTATGATTATTTAGATCTATATTACGAATCATCTATTGAAATGTGAGGAAAAAATATCGAATTCCTATCGCTCAAAGAAATTATGAAGAACAAAGCTTATTTCTTTCGAGTATTATTTTCTGGGATTTAATAAAGCAGTACGAAATATCAGAGGCAATGACAATTTTCTTCTCTTTGCGTGATACGATGCGCACTATAAGAATCCTTGAAGTAGTAACGATTTATATAATGATAATTTCGCTATGTATAATAGAAATAATATGATAGTAGTCGATAAGAATTGAAAAAATTTTTATAGCAACGGATTTCATTGTACGGAGAAGTATGAAACAAGAATTTTCAATACAATTGCTGTAGACATATAAGAATAGTAATTTTATTATTCGAGCGTACTCGTAATAGTATATCAGTTAATTAAATTATAGCTTTAGTAGTCACTTATTATAATGAGTAAATACAATTTGCAGAGAGAAAGATTTTAGAGAAAGAAAGAAAGCAAATTTTATATACCAGATATGCGAATGCTAATGGAAAATACATTTAAGTCCAATTTACCTAGAAGCTGTAAAAATCTCTCGAGTAAAATTGACATTTATTGAAAAATTGCCCGTTACTCGCTTGATATGCCTTTTAATTTTTAAATTAGCATTGGAATAATCGAGGCCAAGTATCCTTGGCGACAACTGGTTAAAAGCTGAAAATACCAAGCGCATAGCAAATTAAAAGCCCATGAACGAACGCTATAATTATATCTTTATGATCCTTTAATATCCGATAAATATTTGTAAGCTCGATTATATTCTTCAGGCCGAGAGTGACGTCACTCACCCATCCGCGCAATTCTCCCTCCCTCGCGATACCCAACAAAAAGCAATAATCTCGACAGACCTGGCGGTGTTGCATCTCTCGTACTCCCGGTGCCCAGGTGGCTTGGGCTTGGCATTAAGGAGGCACTTCCTGCGTGAGACCAGCTCCCGCGTCACCTCGTCCCGACACAGGAGCGTCCTCCGTCTGATCCCGCCCCCGCAGGTCGCCGAGCATGGGCCGGAGGGCGATCCGGATAAAAGCCAGACGTAGCGGTTCCTTGCCGTTCGCAGCACCGAACGCGATATCGCGTATTGCGAGGAGGCGGCGATCGAGGCACCGCTACGTACGACTGCCCTCGAGGTCACCAGCTGTTCAACCACATTAGGTGCACATTAAGTGACACGTTGCGTGTCTTTTTCTCGAACGTCTACTTTTTAATGCCGAATTTTCAATATCAAATCGAATATCTTCCATCACTCGTACGATACAATACGAATTGGTGATGTAAATGATAGCATTAGGCATTTCTGTATTGGTTCGAGGTCTTGAAATTGGACGAATTTTGTCGCTTTACGAGGCGTATAGAATAAAACTGGGAATCGATAATGTGAGAGTCCAATAATCGTTATTTACTCATATACACAATTATATTAAAGCATTAAAATCGATACGATTTTATTAATAGTTAATTTTCTATAAAGTACTCTTATCTCAACTTTAACTTATTTTTCGAATGAAATAACCGCTTTGAAATTTATGATAATATTTTTAATCCTGATAATTAATCACGTATTATATGAAATTGTAATATATTTCATGCAAAATATTGTTTTACTCGCGACACTTATAACGTATCATTAATTGTTACGAATAATGGCATGAAAATCTCACCGAAATAATAATTTCAGAAACGACTGGTCCTTTACTCCATAGCACGTACTTTTCCTCCAATCTTTCTGCTCTAAAGGCAACTCCATCAATTATCGTAGCCAAAGCTCGTCCATCGACGTCAAATTCATTTATCTCGTGCCGTTTTCGTCGACCATCGCGTAAAAGAATTTTCATATTACCTTCATGAGGAACGGAATCCGTGAGTAGAATTGTAACGACCACTTTAATATTGTAAGCAGATCTTGGTATTACGGCTAACCTTGTAGTTTCTATTAGAAAAAAGCACTCCAAATGTATTATAAGAATTATCAAGCGACAACGATAATATTGATTATTATTCCTGAAATACATGATCAATAAAAATATTTATTATTTACTGTTCGAACTATTTCAATTTGAAATGCAAAAATAAAGAGTAAATTTATTAAAAATACATTGACTAGTTGTATCTCATATAAACATATAAATTATTAATAATTTTCTTAATTATTATTATGTTTTTTAAATCCATATTTAATGAAAAATCTATCAATGATATTTTGATGAATGATAAATACATGTTATCAATTTTATATGAAAAATAAATAACTAGGAATAATACGTTTAAATTTAAATACTTAAAAATTGAAAATAGTTTTTTCAATAATTGTATAGTCGGATAATTATATATATATATATATCTAGAATGTCTGTATGATCTAGAATTGATCTAGAATAATTATTAAATAAAATTTATATTTAATTTAACAAAAAAAAAAAAAGAAGGATTATATCGAAAATTTATTGTAAATTTCGACAAATATAATTTATTATAATAAAGCAATAATATGACATGTATTTGTACCACTTTCAATACTTTTTAACGTATCCATAACTGGTCTGAAAATCACATATTCATTGAATTTTTTTTCCGAATGATATTTTACTTACCACAAACTTTATCGAATCAATGTCTCGAAATTCACAAATGTACTTAAGAATTTCTTTCAGACGTTCAGCAATACAATGTTTTATTTTATTATTTCAAGAACATTTTATACCAACTTATTTTCCATACTAATGCATACTGATTATAATATTGATAACAATTCTAATTGAATTTAGCTTAATTTTAGTATTTTAGTATTATCAACAGAACTACTTTAAATTCTCATTTGGTATTTTCAAGAGACTAAGCGAAACGAAATCGAGCTCTCAACCTTCCGGTATTCATTATTTTGAAAGGGGGAACGGCAAACGATAAAAATTCCACAATTCATAAATACCTAACTAATGAAGCTGAAAAAGAAGAGTGCCAATGCTTTGTTCATGTAACATCACTAAAGCAAAAATTATTTGACAAAATAAGTCAGGAAATGAGAATTTTTTTAGGCTAAAAGAAATGAAAGAAAATAAGATAGGAAATATAGAGTTATATTATTATCTATCCATTTAGACCTCACAAATTAAATTTTGAAAAAAATATATATTGTTATACAGTTGTTAATTGTATAATTGTTGAAATATTTTAATACTAATATCCAAATTATTCCATTAAATTTTCGAAATAAATCATTATCCGTTGCCTTTTCATTATACAAAGTTTTATACGTGTTTTAACCGATATGACATTTCTGCCGCACTATTTTTAAATAAAATGTTAGATCAAGTTATTTGACGGATGTTTATTAATGATAAGATGAGGTCTTCGTTTCCCGGACTCTGTCATTTTAATATAACGAAAACTATATAATAATAAAAACTGATATAACGAAATGAAATTTTTTAGAAAAATTAAAATAAAATTATAAACATATTTTATATTAATATTAATAGTTAAAAAAAAAAATAAATAATATATTTCATCCAATGATTATCACTTCAATACTAATTTTTTTTTTTTAATATCTTAACAATATGTATTAATATAGGATTTAAATAAAATTATTTATTTAATAATAAGAATAAGACTCGATAGAAGTTAGCTTAATAATTACATGGAATCGCCACTTCTCATTGTTTGTGCGTTAAAAATATTTGTTAATGTAAATTTATAACTATTTTCACAATAAATGGTAATCTAGCGTTACATTTGGTTGTTAATATAATAAATATCGTTAAAAAATAAAATTTAAATTATTGCGAATAACAATTTGTACAAATTAATAAATCTTTTTCTACCAAATTTTAAACGAAACTTATTATACAGAACTAAATATAAATTGAATTTATAGTGATATCCATTGAAATTTCTAATTACTTTATTATCCCATTCAAACACTAAATTTGCAATCTTTACAACAATTTCCATGTATTATTATTGCCTGTATTTTAAAATATTATACTTCGGGCGTATATGAAGCGAGTGTATCTTGTATTTTGAGCTTTTAAAAATCAGGAAACCTGAGAAGTTGATGCGACGACGGTATTTAAGATAAGTGCTGGTATTTATTCTGGGAATATAAATCTATGGAATATAAAATATGGAAAAAAAAAAAAAAAAAAAAAAAAAAAAAAAAAATAGAAGAATATCGAGAAGTATTTTCATTAATAACCGCAAAGACATTTTACCGCATTTTTTTATACATAAAAGATAAAATTATGTTATATATTATGTTTAGATAATTGGATATGAAAGATCATATTAATATAATAATTATGAATTAATAATTTTGCATATTTATGGTTTAAATATCTATTTTATGTTGCTATAAAGAAAATGAATTTTTTAACAATTTCTCTATTGATTATTTCAATAAATATTTATTCTAATAGACTAAATATTTTAATTACTCGTGTTTAATTTTCGATAGCGACTTTAGATTTTTTCTAAAAACTAACCCTTTCACATTAAGTGAATATAATGTTCTATAATTAAAGATTTCTTTGCATTAAGGATAGATAAAAAAAATGCTTGATGTATAATTATTGATTATATTAATATTAGCATAAATGTAACATTCCACGATTAAAAACCTTATTTTAATAAAGTCCAATCCAAAGATTGTTAAGAAGCGTATATAATAAAATAATTAAATTTCTCATTTTAAATGACGATTTTCTATATTATATGGAGTTGCGTTTTAAAGAAATATGATTGATTAAAATAATCCAATAGTAAATTTTATAACCTATGTAATAATGATTTATAAGTCCACTCGATACGTTCGTTTTCTCGTTAAAGCTACTTATTTGAATATCTTGTAACAAGAATGCTATAACTGAAAATTAAAAGTCTGCACAAAACATATAAAAATTGAAATTTACATTTTAACGGCTCTCATAAATTATATAATATTCGTTGGTTAATTTCATTATGTGTTTTCCCATATATTTAGTTATTTGTCTTATGGATCGTGTTGGAGCTAGTAAAAAGATCGTAAACAGTAAGTGAAAATAAGCTCGATTCATTCTAGTCAGTGCCATGACAATTTCCCACAATTTTCATTCCTATAAAAATATCTTATATAAACGAAATTTTGTGTGCGCAAAATTTTCATATTATTTTTTGTGAAAGATTATCTATAAGAAAAAAAAAACTTATGAGTAATTAAACGTTAGTTAGACGTTAAAAATAAGATCGAATAAAATACATCCTATCGTAGCTCTAGAGATTACCGAAGTGCCAAAGTTTTTCAAGAAAATATCATCGGACACGTTGTGCCATACGAATATGCATGTCGTATCATCTACGGCTCCATTCCAATACAACTCTTTATCGTTTTATGCGTGTCACTCAACATCCCACTCCATCCGTCCCACTAAACTAGTTGCAAAGCCGTCATCGAGCCGCCACATTCAATTATCGATCAGAGAGTTGAACGCGACCTATGTTCGCGTTCGTGCGTGTGTGCCCGCGCTCGCTTATGTATTCGTACGAACCTCTGCGTAGCTTCCGCTGGAATTTGCCGCTGACGCTCTCGCAGGTGGAGTTGTTGCCCTTACAGAGGCCGCAAACGTCTCGGGTGCTGCTGGAGTTCAACTCGTCGTCGCAGCCCATCGAGCGGCACACACCCTGAGGGCATAAGAGTTTACTTTTTTTTTTATGCTTTCACGCTGAAAATTTAGAGGGCCTGTAAGACTCCCGACTCACGATATCTCGCGAATCAAGATAGTCCTTTGGATACTTTTTCATCGTCATTCAGCACATAATAATCTTTATTTTTTCTTTTTTTCACTTAATGGATTTATTGGTTTCGTTGCGTTTATGCATGACTTCATCAAGTGTCTTTTATCGTAGGAATAATATAAATTTATGTCTTTAAGGAGAAGCATTATTATTACTAGGTTTAAGAGTTTTTATTAAGCTTAACTAGCTTAAGATTAAGCTCGAACGAGGGATAATAATTATAATTAACATCGTAATCATAGTTCGTCGCGCGCTTGGAAATTGATGTATTTTCAATGAAAATAAAAATTAGGCTATGTATCTTTGATTGTTATTTTTGCATAGAAACTGGGTGTTAATTAAAAACAATGATTTTTACTTGAGTTAAGATGTATTGCATGAAATTTAATGTAAACTATTTATATTAATGTAACATATTTAATTGGGTAAATGATGTAGTCAAAGAACTTGATAAAATAGAAAATAGAATTTTATAGAAAGTCACTTTTGTTGAAATATTATAAATTTTACAATAATGAGCAAATATAATTACAGTAAGGTTGAATAAGATTAAATTATAGACTAATTGATAAGAAAAATTCAAATAAAACACAAAATATATGTCAACAAAAATTTTTAAACGAATGTATGAAATAATCTTTTTTAAATTTTAATATAACAAAGTTTCATGAAACATGAATACTCATAATGTTTTGTTAAAAAAATTATATATTTTATTCTGCATGGAAGTAAGTATAATAATAACAACAAAATTAACAAAAAATCGAATAAATGGCATATATCTATATATATATATATATATATATATATATACATACAGAAACACACATTTATTTAAATTATGAATCAAATTTAATTTCAGTTTAAAAATTATTATTTTTTAATATATCAATTAATATAATAATAAGAACTTTATGCTACATATAATTAATATATATATATATATATATATATATATATATATATATATGTATGTGTGTGTGTATATTCTATCGTACAAATTATATTTATTTCGCTTTGTTTGGAATTTCGAATATAAATTTAAATTATAGTACAGCTTAGGTATTTGTATAATCCATCTGCATTCCACTAATTATTTTTATTTGCTCATATCAATTTATCACACGTGTAGTCATTATATTTGCCGTAAAATATATATATTAAAAATTTATGTTTTCCAGTTTTCTCAATTGAATTTAAATTAAAAATTTTTACATAAAAATTATATAAAGCTCAAATAAAAATAAAAATTTGATTTATATCCTTGTATTATATCATGAAAATTGATATTTTTTACTCTCATTTTGTAAGGTTGGTAGACTCGCTTCGACAAAGTGATAAAATTTTCTTAAAAAATAGATTTCATTTGGAATTTGAATACCTTTAGAATACCTTTGCAAAACATTTTTGGAAATCATATTATTTTTCATAAATGCCTATATTTATCAAATAAAATTGTGCAAAATTCTGACAAACACCGTGCTTGTTTTGGCATTTTATCGAAACGCAATTTTGTATAATAAAAAACATTTCGTTGTGTATCATAAAGTTTCCAATAAAATTATTAATATATTTTTTGCTTTTATTAAAATTATAATTATTTTTTATAATAGTATAGTTTGGAAAAATTAATTCTATAATTTTATAAATATATATATATATATGTATATATATATGTGTGTTATAAAATTTAAATATTATGATGTGAAAAACGAGCATATCTACTAGGTTTGAAGATACATCTTCTTACGTCAACACAGATGTCACTGGTATCATAAGAACATGAAGCCCCATCTTCAACATCCATGCCAGTGTGAAATATTTCACCCGTTTCCTTCTTGTAACAGATTAATTGACAATTCGATTTACCATCAAAGGCCTCGTACGGTAACCACGTTCCATTACTGTCGATCGGGTTGTTCTTCAAACCGGCTTGATTCAGGAAAAACTGCGAGCAATGTCGTGCTCGAATATCAGTATGATCAATACAAGTAGGCAGTTTGCAAATTCTGAATTCCTTTGATTCTCCCTGGCAGCTACATATTTGTGCAAATATACATTTATAAATGTGAATTATAAAATACTTATCGTAATACATAATGAATTTACAATTTGATGTATATAATTATACGAATATTTTTAACCTTTACATCGATAATTCTACCTAAATAAAATGTTTGATTAAAAAAATATTTTTGTTTTTTAAAATTCTTTTAAACAGTAATTTATGATTGATATGATATTTATTTACATTAACAGCATGAAATATTAATTTTAATAGTAAAATCATTTAGTTGTTTTAAAAATTAAATTACTTAATACTTGTTAATCATTTTAATTCACGAATTTAAGATAAATTGTTGATAATATGTAAGAAAAGAGAAAAAAATCCTTAAATTTAATTAAGGATTGTAAAATTATAGCGCCTGAAACTTATTATAATTTACCAATAGAATGTAGTATTTTTATTTTGCGTACTAGTAATATACATATTTTAGTTAATTAGTTAGAATTTATTAAATACGCAGAATATGCGATAATGTTTGAAGAATAAAATCATACGAAAAGTTATAACGATATTATTTGAACTTAAATTTGAAAAATATGGTTATTAATTAATTCTTTGCTTATCTATAATTACAAATTATCGCACATTTCTCATAAAATACTGAGTAATCGTAATTAAATGGGAGCAAAATATAATTAGAATATCTACTATATTCAAAATCAGATTCTGTTATAGTGAATTTTCTAACTTATCAGTTAATAAGAATCGAGAAAATATTCCTGTAATTATATCTCCGAGTTTTTCATTTCGATTAATATCTGCTACTGCAAACATTATAGTGTTTATCTTGAATTTTAATCTCATAATTAATTGAAATTTCTACATTTCCATATTAATTTTGATATTGTCGAAAATATGTTTTAGTGGAATTTTTGTATTACCTAATTGGTATTGCTTAAAGTAAAAATTTTCATAATTATTTTGGAGTTAATAATATACGCAGGTAAATATTTACGAATTTATTATTTATACTTGTACTTAATATTATTATTAAAAATAAATGATTTATTCAATTTATTATAATTGAAATTTATCTCGAAATTTTAAATTCATTGGCAAAATGAAAAAGTAACATATGAAATAATTTCAGCATTAGAAAAATTCTTTATCCGCAAATATAGAGTTACTAATGCTAAAAATTCTTTGAATAATCTAATAATATAAGCTATCGATGTAATATGATGATTTGTATTGAGTTTTAAAAGAAAAGTTTTTGCTATTAAATATTTAATTTTTTGTTTTTCATTTAATCAATTCATTGTTATAATATTTTTTTCTTTTTGAAAAAATGATTTCGTATTTCATATATTTGTAAAATTATAATTATTAATGCAAAAAAAAAAAAGAAAAATGTTCGCTCGTCCTTTGCAAATATTGATTGGTTTAAAACTGCCAAAAAAAAATGGCGATAATTTGAAGACTATGGAATAGATTACGTCAATAAGGTTAAAATTATATTCTAGACTATATAATAGGCAAATTACAAAAATTTTCCCAAAAATCCTACTTACACGCCAATGCAATGTCGCACTCTATATTGGACGGCAGTGCCGCAAGTTTTGGAACATTCACTCCATGGACCCCAAGAGCTCCAAGTATTTTCAATAGTGCCACGTACAGCCAAAGGAGATGGATCAAAGCGCTTTTGGTCGATTAGCGCACACATGCCATTTACGCATGACTATTAAGAATTAAATTGTTTTTACTGCAATGCTCAAATGAATTTGAAATAATTATCACTTGAATACAAATTTTTATTGTGCCTACGATGGTTGAAGATATACATTATGTAGTATTTACATTCCAAAAATTATACAATACATTTTGATATTAGGAACAAAATATTAAAATATTAATATCACTTCTCAACAACGACAGTTTTAATTAAAATACGCAATAAGTATTCATAATGTAATACATTTTTAATAATTTAAAATGAGGTTTTAAAGGGAGATTTGTCTAGGAAGAGAAGAACCAATTTAATAATGTTTTTATGTAAGATTATAGATACTTAAAATTATTAAATATATGTAATACTTTAAACGCTTAATTGGAAAATTATTCTTCCCGTCGTTGTATTTATGCTTTTACTTCTGTTTTCTTTCGATTTATAAAAACGCGTTTAAGGCAGAAAATTAAATTTTATATTATTAGATTAACATCTAGTATATTGTCAGCTAATAATAATTTTAATTTTGCAAATCATATACCTTATATATGTATATATAAAGTTTTATGTTCATTATGTTCATCATATAATTCGAATATTATGCCTTAAAGAATTTAAAAACGTCATTAGATTTTATACATGCAGTTATCAAATACGTATTTTAAGATATGCCAACACTTTTCATGTTCGTTCGTTGATTATATTACAGAAAATATAATATAATGATCAAATGAATGACTTGTAGTTAATCTAAATGGTTGTTTTTTTTTTCTTCAAAATTGGCTTTTTTAATAGGATATGTACAAACTGGCTATTCAACGATTAATAAATAACGTGCCAATAATTATGCAAAACGTTTTTCATCAAACCGCAATAAAACTAAAGGTTTTATATGTAATTAAATGTATATAAATGTTAAATATCAGATGTGTTTAGGATAAAGTCGCAATAATATAAGTACTCGTATATTATCTTTTATACGAATCATTATAATCAACATATTAAATATGTAAAATTGCTATTACCTCGATCTAAACATTTATAAAATATATCAATAAATACAATGTAATCCTATATAAGTATTCGAATAAATATTAATATGGTAGATAGAAAGCGAAATGAAAGTAAGTGTAATCTGATTAACGCTTTACGATTGCATTATCTCGTTAAAATACCTGGTATTTACATTTTCAATTCTATTTATATATTAGATTTTTTATCATTGCATAAGAAATAAGCATCGCTGCGATAAAAGAATTATTTAATATATGGGGACCTATTCGATAAGAAGCATATAACAAATATATAAATAGTCATAATTTTAATAAAAAAAAAGCTTCTCAGACTATCGGTATCGGAATAATAATGTATATAAAAAAACGTATTTGTCTCCGTCGTTGCATCAGCATCCTTTACAATATCTGAAGATCTGCGCTAGACCATCGATTATTAACCTACGAATTATTAACCGACGAATTCGACAGTACAGGGCCATGGGACGATAATAAAAGCTCCTAACACAACGAACTGTCAAGCTGCCCGACGTGCGTTAGAACTCCAGGGTTATTAACTGGAGGCTAGCATTTGAGGAAAAATGCAGGAGGCCGTACGTAACGTGGAGTCCCTGTGAAGAGAAGTCGGATGCGTCGGCGTGAGGGCCGGGTGAGGAGAGCGGAGGGAGGGAGATGGGAGAGGGACGGTGGCGGATGCGACGGGTACTGTGTCATTAAGCTCGCTCCTCACTTGCCTTATTTTCGGCGCACAATGTTCCTTCTAACGGTGGCCCCTTCTTCGTTTTGCAAGCCTGCGTGCTGTTAGCCCACCCACACCAAAGATGCGAGCAGAGGTTCGACGATTCCAGATTCCTGCATCGGCTATATCTGTAAATAAACGTCTTTACTGTCGTCACTTATTCTCTCCGCCTCTCCCTCTTATTGCCCACCGAGCGCAAATTCCTGTACACTCTATGCTCTTCGCATAAGATCGTATGATTGGTTGAAAATTTTCAGTAAATTAATTAAAATTAATCATAGTGTTAAATTCCATTGTATTTGTTATTATATTAACGTGTCTCTCAGGCTTTATTTTGATGTAAAAAAAAAATTTTCCGTAACTTTTATTCAATATTTATGTACTTATGTCGGGCATTAAGTAAGCTCGTCGTCATGTAGTTAAAATTGTTAAGTAACAGAGTTGCTTATATTGTTTATATGAAATGGGCAAATATTCAAATGTTTAGGTGCATCGTGTTGGAATCGTGAAAGCAACCGTCCGTATGTATATAAACAATGTTACTTGGAAATTTAATAAAATTCAATTATAGTCGTAATAAATGTTGTTACAAATGTAACGAAATATTAAAATGAAAAATTTTTTTCTCAAGTTATTCGGATAGACGTATTGAATAACACTGAATTTAAGAAACTATAAAAAATTTTATGAATAATAATACTTTTACGCGATAGAACCATTATGCATTATTCCGTCAACGTTCTCATAGAAACATTATATTCCCATTAATTTATCAAAATCCCGTGTAATTTTATTGGCAGAGGAAAAACATTGAGCGATCTTGGTATTTATGCTTTGTCATTTTGAAATAAATGAATTTTACTTTATTTATTATGCCAAACTAGCAAATGGTTGTTATATCTGTGTATCAATAATTTTAAAGGGTAAGTTGACATTATATTAAATAATACCAATCTTCATGGTTTGTTAAGCGACAAACGACATTAATTATAAAAAGTTTTGTAACTATAAAATATTAAATAAGTAGAATAAATGTTAAATACTTAAAGCAAGGAAACTGTTTATTCTGTAACTTGTAACTATTAATATCAACACTCAAAATACAGAAAATATTCTTATTAGTATTTACTCGTGTTTTGTCATTATTCAAAACAAAAAAAAAAATTTATTTACAAATACAAAGAGCTTGATTTATCGATGATTAATTAATTTATTCTGAAAGTTGTGCTGAAAGCAGCTTTTACGGGGCTGAACAGTCAAACTGTAATTACTAAAATTCATAGATCGACTAATTGAATAATAATAACGTTCTTTCGTAATGGTAAATTCGGAAAGCTGCTAATATAAGAAAGACCATTCGACAAGCATAAGAATTATAAAAATTCATCAAATTGTCTAAGGATAAGAAGCATATAAAAATCGGTATGATTTAACGTGGTAGGGGAGGGAAGAAGGTAGAAGGTCTGTTACGAAAGCCTAAGAATCGAATGATTGTAGAATCGAAGACATTGAGTATAAAAACAATGTCTACTTACCCTTCACCGAATTCCATCCTACATTGCTCATCCATGTCGAAAGTCTCGCTCCTTTTACCATCTCGAGCACTAGGCGAATCAAATTTATTCGGTCGATTTAGAAGGCACGTCCAATGCCTGGAAGCAATTCTATTCTTATTGGCTATTTGTTACCAACGCCGACGAGCTATCTTACCAAGCTATATATTACCAAGCTATCATACGCAAAAATAATAAAGACAATTTGACAATCTACCACCATCTTTCAAGCCAGGAAAATTAATTACAAATCTAATGAAACGCAAAGTTTTAAAGCATTAGCAGGCAATTTATTTGAATTGGTGAGAGGGTAGATTGTATGGTAATGAATGAGCGACGTTTACCTTTAAAATATACGCCCGAGAAACGCAATTGTACCCAGGTAATCATATCACATACTTAGATTTTCGATGAAATTCCTTTCTTGAACATGTCGACCAATGAAAGTTATGAAACGTGGCCGCTACCATCGGTGCCATTATGCTGCCTCGTGCAGCCTCTCTGGCGCAGGTATTCCCAGAGTTTTTGTCCCCGTCATGCGAAAGTCCTAATCTGCTCAATCAATACAAGGCCATTATTTTAAATTAATATTATCCATCAAGTATTCCAAGCGCAAATTACTTTTCACGTTAATGCTGATTTTAATTAATCGTTCGTCTTTATTATGATTTACATTGCTTAACAATTTAATCCCCGTAAAATTTATCGTTCAAGCAATCGCGGGGCATTAAAATTCTTATTCGAAATTATCGAACAGATCGATCATTACGTTAATGATAAAAACGTTAATGATAATAACGTTGCCAATAAGATTATGAAAGCTCTAATGAGCTGACATAGACGATTTCTTAACATTTGTAAATCAATGCCCATAAAGAACAAACGAGATAGGTAGGTTTATGAGCAGCCAAAATAAACATATACAATTCAGCATAATATCATTCGTTATCCAATAAAATGCGAGGCAAATAAATGAAGGGGGAGGGGTTGGGGGGGGGTGGAAAAAATTGGCGCGCACGTACATGTGGGCGACTTCGTGAGCAATGATAAAGGCACTGGTGAGACCCTCGTCGCGGTTCAAAGCACACGACCTTGAGGGGTCGCAGGCCCCGGAGACGGGGGCGTACCCGGAGGGACCGCCGATGTCCAGCCTCGTCAACCACACGGCCACGTCGTATGTCTCATTCGATTGCGAGAGTTGTTTGCGATTCCACTTGTTTACATTCTCGAGTGAGCGCCGCGCATTTCCGTGGTGTACCTGCGCTCGATGGTTTCACAATATTATGAGATTGCTTTGCCACTACCTGAGCTCTTTATCAATAACAAGGCTTATTTAATTCCCTCATTTTACTTTCATTACGACACCCGTGAAACACTGCGTTCATTCTTACATGACTCTGAGAACTTTCGGGCCGCGTTCGAGCCTATTTATCAAATTATTTCTGGATAATAGGGCCATTGTCAAACGAATAAACGCATTTGTATTACATCAAAGTATTATAGATTTATGTGCATTCGTTTGTGTGTGGACATCAACTGGACCCGCTCTTTTCCCTCCTTCACCTTCATCTCTAATCTGCATCATTCGCAATGTTATTCGAGTGAAACTCTATTTAACGCTACGTATTAATAATACGTTAGATTACATAACTGAGCTATCATTCGTGAATAGCAGACTTTCGTTTTATTACCCGTGTTATTTCCGTCTTTATTATGTTGTTTATGATTATAACTTTAAATCTTACGACGATGCGTAAAGCAACAATTATAATACTTCGAGAAATATCATAATGTTAAAATAAAAATTTTTTTATAATGTTATAATTTAATCGCTATTTCACATTATAACGAATTTAGTCTGTTAAAGTGAAATAAAAGTTTCAAATTTTCAATGTAGTATTAAAAACAAAAAACGAACATTTTAAATTCTCTATTATTTTCTATTAGCATTTATAATTTTTATAAGACAATTTACTTCGTCCTAATTATATTTCATCTTCATAAAAGTACTTGAATTTTTCATTCACACATTTAATAAATAATTCATCTTTCCTACATTGAGAAATTAATATTTTACATGCTAATTATTCATCACTAATGATTCAAATTAACGAAAAATAAATATAAATTACCATCCCATCCTTTTTATCAGCATACAAAATCATACGAACAACTACAAGTTGCATATTAGAGTCAAGTGTTGGATCTTTATAAATTGCACTGACCTGTAAAAGATTGAATTGTAAATAAAATGTGCGTTAGTAGTTCAATAATATTCAATAATCGTAAATCAATTTTCATCGAGTTAAGATTAAAACGAATTGATCGCGAGACGCTTTAACTCTAACGTTTATTAACGCGATATAAGTGGCAATTTAATGTTTAGAGCTTTCTCACGTAATAGAAGTATCTAAAACATTTCGATTCCCTGGCTTGGTTAATTTTCCAAAACCAATTCATCGTACCAAACCTATTGTCGCTTAACTTCCGATTCGATTTGAATATTAAAAAAAAAAAAAAAAAAGAAAAAAATATAAATTAGCATAAAAAACAATAATTTATTAAGTTATAATACTTACAATGTTAAGAAGAGCTAAAATGTATTGTTGGACTCGCGATCTGTGAAAATCAATCACCGAATAATCAGCTACGACCGTCATCTCAAGCCACTTCGGCGGAGAAAATTTGTTCATTGTTTTTCTTGCTATTAAAAAAATTTCACTTTTAAGTACAACTCCAGCAATTTATTAAAATATTTGAATACTCGATTCCTCATTATAATCAATGGTTTTAATTGTAACTTGAGAATTGTAATTAAACAAATAAAGAACAAAAAATTAACGATAATTATTCTGAAATAATAAATTTATGAATTGGCAAAAAAAATGTCTAATATTCGACATGTTTGAAGCAAATGATAAATAATGATATAGATAAGATCATCCGATAATAATAATCATTTCAGTTAAAATAACATAATTTATGATGTGACATAATTAAAGGTTCAGTAACAAAAACTAAACGATGTTATTCCTAAGGGAAATATTTAAATAAAGATTACTTAATTAAAATATACAATATACATGATTATTATCAAAATTTTTTAATACAAATTTATGTATATAATAGTAAATTTTTAAATTAATAATAAACTTACTTAATACTCATATACGATATCATCTATTAAATAGACATTATATTCATAATAAAATATTATCAAGTATCTTTACATAATAAATAAAATTAGAATTAATTTGCTTAAATTCAAAACATATTGATAATTAAGAAATTTTTCTTTATATATATGAAATGATAAAAAAATTTATATCTAAACTACAAATATCCATAAAAATATTTAATTGAAATAATACATTAAGATAAAATAAGTATTCATCATTGATCATTATCATAATTATTCGTCTAGTATACTGTTTTACATTCTGAAACTTCAAAATATATAGTACATAAAATTAAAAAGGTAAACGAAATTGGAGTGAAAAATCTTAATCAACATTCCACACTTTGTACCTATAAACGTAACATAATTACAAAACTTATGATAAGACTATATATATATATATATATGTGTGTGTGTGTGTGTGTGTGTAATGGTTGTTGTTACAAGCGGCTTACGAAAGCATAAATACTATCAAATAATAAATTAACTTACTTGATCCTAAGCTGTTTACAGTATTTATTTCTACTATGCGGAATGTTGCAAACAAACCACTTTTGTATCTTTTATAATTAATGCTTATAATATATTATATGAAAATTGTAAATTATATCTAGTCGATAGTTAAAAAAATATTAATATAAATATAAATAAATATTTTTTATATAATATATCCAAATTTTCTAATATTTTAATACATATTTTTTTATCATATATATATATATATATATATATATATATGTATATATCGATGTACAAATTTGAGTATTAGTATAATTTAATAATAATAAGACTCGTTAATCACAAGATTACAATAAAAATTTCTTATCTTGGCAAATATCCACTCACATTTCTAGGCAATTTATTATGTTGATTCTAAAAATGAATTCTTAACCGTTACAAATTGAATGTTAACAAGTATGAGTTTAAAGGAAACTGTTTTATATGGATTTTAAACATATTAATAAATTGATTGACTGTTTTTATGCAAATTTTTTGTAGAAATTTTCATTGTATTTCGTATATTTTATTACTTATTAGTAGTTTTAGTTTTAACGCTATGAGAACGAAATGGGAAATATTATTTTTTAACCCATTATTCTACATTGCATCGAACTGATGTTTCTAAATCATTTCTTATTTATTTATTTATGTCGTCAAATTTATGCAAAACTTATTAACAATTCCTACAATAATTATCATAGTATTAAAATTTTTTTTATTAATTCTTAATAATCAAAATATATGTATAACTAAGAAAGAGAAAATTTAGTTGCATGATTTTATCAATCCCTAATTAAAATTAAGTATTATTTAAATCATGTTTATTTCAAATTTAGTATTATATCATGGATTTTAGCTTGACTATAAATAAATTTCACATATTATTTCTTTCAATGACGAATAAATGATTTGCAATCGACATGTGCATGAATAAGGATAAGTTTTCCGTATACATATTACTCGAAGCAATAAGAGCGATTTTTAAATTTTATATTTTAAAATGCATTTACTAAAATCTGTAATTGCTATAGCGAACATTATATTTTAATTAAATATACTTTTAAATTTATGCTTTCTATCTGTATCCATAAAAGTTTATTCAAATTTCTATATATATAAAAAAAAGAGAGATTAATTACAGTTCACAGTAGCATTTTTAATGATAATTGATTAAAATTGTTTGAAATTTAGCGGAATTTTTTTTCAAAATTAATGAAAGTTATTTATTACTTTAGAGTAAATGAAAGGTAGTATGAAAAAAGTATTTGAAACTGTTCGGTCTCCTGATATTTCATAAATGTTTCTAAATTTAGTATGTACCTGCTATAATTATCTCTATTAAAGAAAGTGTTTAAATCTCTAGCAGTTCACCGACTCTTTTTTTATCGCGATTATTTATTTAAAATATTGTAGTTTGAATTGGATAACATTGAGACATTGAGCTCTTTATTAAATTTTATCCGATGAACAATAAATTTATTGTGTATAAACAGATATATATATATATATTGATTTTTTTTTTTTTTTTTTTTTTTATAAAGCATTTACACGTTTCTTTTCTTTATTAGTATAATGAACTTAATGTTATGTTTAAAGTAAGAAAAAGTTTGTAAATTATGTTTTAGAAGCAATTAAAACTGATACGAATAAATAAATAAAAATATCTATATATAGAAGATATTCTTGTAAATTACCAATGAAATTTTAATCTTAATATTATCCCTCAGCATTGCTCGGTGAAAGTGTATGTATCTTAACTCGAAAAAGATGATTTTTTTTCTTTTGCTTAAGAAATTTTGAAGAAATTATTATCTTGGAATCGTATCATCAATAAATACGTATATTTAATTGAAAATATGATTTTCATGATAATTAAAATGCTCCTCCCCCCCCCCCCCCTATTAAAATACATCCCATTACGAAAAAAAGGGCTCAGCTATTAATTGTTATATCTCTCTCTCTCGTTAATCTTGTCTCGATAAAGAAAACACTTTACTTTCATACACCAGCAACTAATGACTGCTTTCTCGCATTGTCTATTGCATACCTCTATTTATAGATGACTTTTCTAGCACCGTCAATTAACGGCAGATCTCGATTCCCGCTACTAGTCAAATATAAAGCCATTATCCATATTAAGCGGCGTTCGATTAAATCATCTCTTAATACTTACTCGGTAGTCTCTCTCTCTGCCAATTTCTGTCAAAGAAGTATCCCACATTAGCGGAATCGTCAATCCCAATAGCAACTTTGGACCTCCCTAGCTCATTACTTCTACTTAGATCGCTGCGTTCGCTCAATAATTCGGGATTGTCATCATAATTCTCGAGTTCGAAGGTGTCGCCGCTGAGATTATAGAATCGCCTGCTCGTTTCGTAAATCATCGATGACAAGGACAATAACGAGGACGATGACAATGGCGAGACCTCGCGCCTTGATCGTGAAAATTCAGCTTCGTAAAGCAAATGCTCCCCCGTCTGGGCCAACAATGGCTCTATCAAGTACGTCCTATTTTTCATATTAAGCATTCCGAAAAACTCGTTGTCACAGCGCGTTAATAGGACGTGTGAGTTGCCCTCCCAGCCATGAATCTCACCTTCGCGACTCTCGCACGACTTTACCAGGTTCAATGACTTGGAAAATGCCGACGACGCTGACAGGCCGAACCACTCGACGCTGAATTTCGGCGAGAATACGAGATGATGATTCGGTTCGGTCTTGAGTATCCAGTCATTTAAAGCGACGAACTGAAGATTCCGGCCGCTCTCGAGTGGGACCGAGCGACGATCGCGTGACAATTCAGTGCGTGGGATGATGCGTGGATGAACGATTCGTGGATAGCGTTGCTGACTACTGGCGTTGCTGAGAATTAGAACTAAAATAACGGCGATGCTTTGTTGGAGGATGGCCGATAACTCGCGTGAACTCACAAATGACATAATCATTGTTTTAGAGCTTTAACGCGCCTCTCTTATCGCATGCCTCAAATAATATCCAAACAAAAATGTTCAAATATTCAACTAAAGGCCCTAGTCGAGCTTGTATTTGCCGATCGTACTTATGAAATAAAACTAAGTACCGTAGACCAAAAGGAATTAATCAGTTGCCAATTAATAATCGATTTGATTAGCATTAAACTAGTGTCAGTTGTGGTTGAGGGCCATTTAAATTTTTCCTCTACTCGTACTCGCGATTAAGCACGTATATTTACAAATTTTTCTTTTTCCATCCGACGCATTATGCTTATTGCACATTTTCTTAACTATCACTTTATTTATTTCTATCCAAAAATTTCAATTACAAATACCATCTCAACCATCTCGTTGTCGCACGCCATAAATTAATTGCCTTGAAAAGACAAAACCCACTTTTATTACCCACTGATCTTCTGATCTTCTGATTTATTCGTTTTCACGAACGCACGAATTAGATGAGCTTTCGAATTAATAATGTGCTCAGACAGTTCAACGAGTCAGCTCGAAACCAACCGGTCATTCCATTACGTATCGTATCAATGCTGATACAACGACTAACCCACCACGTAACATCTCCAACAAAAAAACTTGAAATCACATTATCAATTATTACATTCCTCGACTCGGATCTCAGACTCAGCCCATGCAATTACAAATGTCCCGCTTTTACATAACACAGGATATCCGTAAATTCGAAAAGTGCCCGTTAGAATTGATGCTCCAGCATCCCGCTGCTCCGGAGCCGATAACTTCACCATCGAGCGATCGAGCGGCTGAATAATTATCCCGAGCCGACGATCGAACAAACCGAAAGTCCAATCGAAGCGGCCCGACGGAGCGCCTGAACTTTCGCCGCGAGGGGCTTCCGACTGTCTGACTAATGGTCGCGAGTGCCACCACCAACGCCCGCGTGAAAATCCCCTAATTAACGTTTAATTAGGCCGCGGTACCCGCTCGCGCCGCAACAGCCGAGGCGACTGGCTCGCCACATGGCGAAAGCTCGGAAAGCGGGAACGGCGCGTTATGGGGACCTCCTCCCGCTGCTGCAGACGACCGAACGGGAGATCAAGAGAGAGAGAGAGAGAGAGAGAGAGAGAGAGAGAGCGATTTTGAGCGCAGCATAAGAGAGATGGAAGGGCGCCTGTATGCGTGGCTGCTTACGTATATGCGCGCGCGCGCGCGCGTATAAGTGTGTGTGTGTGTGTGTGTGTGTGTGTGTTTGTGTGTGGCTTTCATCTCGCAGACTCTCGTGCGGCATTCTAATAATGGCAGTTTTATGCGTGAACGCGGCGTGTAGTATCGCGCTCGCATAGAGCGGTCAGTGTTCTTGCGAGAGCTCCGACAAGCTTTAACACGCCCTCTCTTTCCATGTCGAGGAGCAGAAGAGATGCGGAATTGCCCGGCTCTTTTGCCTTTTGCCTTTCCACGAATTCTCACGCGGCCTTTATTTCCCTTCCCTCCCGCCCCACCCCATTCCACCAGGCCGCTCGTACACTTATCGTCGCGCTCTCGCACTCACTTTCGTTTTCGCGGTCGCTCCTATAATCGCGCTTGTCACTTGCATCCACTCGAATTTGACCATGATTTGCTATTTTATTTTTTATTTTCTCTTTTAAACGCATCCTCAAATCATATTATCCAATGATAATTCTCAATGAGGTACGAATTTCAAAGTATTCAATTAATTTTATTCTTACAATTTCGCTGGCAACTACTTCAAATTATTTACGTACACGCACACGCATACGCACCCGCACCCGCGCGCGCGCACACACGCACACACGCGCACACACACACACACACACACACACAAAATTCGTGAATAATTTTAATTTCTCACAATATCGATATAACTATGATAATATGGCTGAATAATATTAAACGTATACGCATAATTACTTGTATTTTGAACAATTTCTTTCAACATTTTATTTTATGTAAGAAATTATGCTGCTGAGCATCGTGCAGTAATAATTTGTTGAATGTAGATCATTTGAAAGAGAAATATTTAATAAATTTATACTAAAAAAGATTCGTTTTTTATGGAAAATTCGTATTGTTTAAAACGAAAATATATAAATATTATTAGTTTCATTAAAAATTTTTTTTTTTTAACCATAAATACGAGAATGTTTTGCTTTTTCTCATTAGAATTATATTATTACATTATATTATACCTATTATGTATATTAAGATATATTATTTTATATTTACTTCAAATTGAATATAACAATATAACGAATTAAATATTTGTTCGAAATGTAAGCGACAATCGTTCATTTCAACTAAAACTAAAATCTCGAAATAAACAGTTTTTTTCCAAAAACGTGAGACCAAAAACTCGTAAAATACAAACATTTCTTATAATGTATATTGTTATTATATTGAATTTTATTGGATTATTAACTAAATAGTTTACTTTGGGTCACGACTGCTTAGAAAGATTGTATAATTGCCAAATGTGTAAATAATTATTATTATGTTGCCAATACTGTTAGATAAAAATATTAAAATCACAATATCAACAATCGATTTGAATGGTACAATAATATTAACTAATTTCAATTATTTATTATATTAAATCGTAAATCGATTGTTCGAATTCTATATTAAATATTTCTTTATTACTTGAGATATTATTCCTATACATATAGATTCTTTTTTTCATTTTTAACTTTTTTTTTATATTAAAAATTTACTTTAATAAATGAAACACAATTTAATATATCAAATAGTAATATTTCTCAATTAAAAATTTCAAAAATCGTTAAAATTTTATTGTAATTAGTATGAAAAAATTTTTTTTTTTATAAATAATATAAATTTCGGATAAATTCCTTAGAATTTATTACATGATATTTACAGAATTTAATATTTAAATTATGTCTGGAATTTTGAGTCTTGTTGTAAAAAATGAGCATATGGGTGACGTAAAAAAGTAGAATTACGAAAAGGTTTTTTATTTCTATGAAATTGTTTAAAATCACAATTACGTGATGATACTGTAAGGTTATTTTTTCATCTGATATACTTTCTCTAAAAATCTTATACTCTTGCTAATGTTGGTTTTTCCATATAATTGTTCTAAAGCAAAAACATTAATTCCATCTTCATGCGTCATACGTACATGCAAATCATAATCCATTTTATTTGTTATGAATGTTAATTCCATTTCACGCATTACATTTTATTTTAAAAACTTTCTCAAAATAAATTGTCGTATAATTGAGTAGAATTTTTTTTTCATAATGAAAGAAACTCTTCTGTACATATTTAATATGCATAATTTAAGATAATTAATTAAATGAAAATTGTTGTAAATATCTAACCAATAATCACTAAACGATTACATTTCGGACAGATTTAATATAACTTACTTTCACACCACTTTTATAACAATTCGATCGTAATATAATTGGCTACAAGCATTGGAAATTAATCTATGTATGTAATTTATTCTAGTAAAGTAGTACATGCTAGCTACATTTAATCAAATAGTATTACACCTTATCATAGAGAGAGAGAGAGAGAGAGAGAGAGAGAGAGTGTGTGTGAGAATAAATTAATGAAAAAAAAATTCTAGTGAATAGAGTTCCAAGACATTAAATAAGCAATATTCTGACATTATTAGTCGATCTATTTAAAATTGTTTTCAAATAATATAAATACTGTTAAATGTTTTTCAATTATTCCTAATAAATATCAAGTAATTATGAAATCAGAATGCTATTTTATTAAACTTTATATCATTAGTATTAAACTATTTTAGTTAACTAGTAACTCTAGTGACGAAAGTGGTATTTACACAGTTAACAGATAACACAGTAGGAATGTGTGGAAAATTTAAAAGTCGTGACTTCAGATTTAATGCAAAGCAATTGTACTAAAAACTCGATCACTTAGCTCTCTGATGATCTAATATAAATACAAGCGACATGTGTTGTTTAGTGGTGTCATATAAGCCAAATATAATCCGAGCTAAAAATAAGTATGGCTAATTAGTTTTTTTTATGTATTTATATAGTTCGTAAAAAGAAATACTTCGTTTTAAATTGGAAAAAAAAGTTATAAAAATAAAGAGAATTCTACCATTCTTTATACATAATTTTATTTACATACTTATTATACACTGATTAGAAATTTATAAAAAAACAATTGATCATATTTAGAAATATCTTAATCATAAAATTATTATTATCCTATTGATTATTCTAATATTTTAAATAAGAGGGGCCATTTAATCAGTACATATATATTGTCGAGAGACAGCCAAAATAATTTCTATATAAAATATGATTCAACGATCAATCAAACATATCCTTTATGGTATCTTAACCCTTTATGTTCAAAGCTGCATTACAAAGTAAAATAATTTGGTAAAATGCAATTTAATAATGTTACATGTATCTTATAATTATAATGCATTTGTATATTAAGTCACGACTTGCTGTAATGCGTCTTTCTCGAATTAGCACATTTACTCTATTTTAATTTATTTTTTATTCGTGTTGTAAAAGTGATAGCGTTCAAGACATGGTTAATAATGATGATGATGACGATGATGATGATGCTGATGACGATGATGACGATGATGACGATGATGATGATGACGATGACGATGACGATGACGACGACGATGATGATGATGATGATGCTAATGATAATAATAACAACAATAATAATAATAACAATAGCAATAATAATAATGATGATATAAAATTATTTAATATTACTTTATAAATATTTGCCATATATGATTTTACATACATATATCTGTATCGACATAAACGATACAATGAAGCGTATAATTATAAAGTTAGTGTAAAAGTAATTGGAAAAAACTATTCCTTAAAAATATAATTTTAATATTCCGTTACCTTTCGTTAAATTGATTGGAATTTTTTATTAAATTATTTGCAATATTTTAATTTAAATTAAGAAAAATTTCAATATAAAGTTGTTCGAACACTCAAGTTAAATGTCAAATAAATGCTACGTCATATTGTATCAACTTATTTATAGTTCGAGTCATAAAAACTGTAGTTCTAATAGATTCTCCAAGCTTATCTGCAAATTATCTCTATAAAACTTTGCAGTGCATAAGATCTTTTGAAAGTAGACCATTCTGTCCATAAATTTTTTTGCATTTTCAATTAAATAGAACGATGAAAATTCATCATAAAAATCTTCGATAGCAGATCGTCTTTAATTACTTAAAAACATTTTGAGATTCTCATACATCGAATAGTTGCATAACTCAATCGAGAAACAAGTAACTTTCTACTTAAATGGCTTCGTTTAGCAAATGCTTATAATATAAAATAACTTTTAATTAATATTTACCTGTTGTAATTATCAAGTTTTCTAAATACATTACATTACAATACCTTAATTATATTTAAGAACATTTAATATTATAATTATTAATTTTCATTGGTTACTCGCAATTATATAATCATAATATAATATGTTTAAATAATATGAAATAACATGCGATTATTTAAACATTTTCAGCAACTTATGAGCAAAATTGTTTGAATAATCAGAGAAGGTTCATTAAAATTATAATATATCATAAATATTCATATTAAAATTAATTATTTTTAAAGAAAGTCTTTACGTAAATGCAAGTTTACTTACTTAACACCTACAAATGAAATTTATATCTACGTTAAACAATTTAAAGAATTATGAAGAAATTTAATAACGAAGCATTTACATTGACGATTAAATAACATATTTATGAAAATTGTAATAGAAACTCTTCATTAGTAGGAATTTCAATAATACAATTAATTCAAGTAAGCAGTACTATGTTTTTGGGATTGATTATATTAATTTAAGGTTATATATTTCTTACTCTACGTATTCGATTGAAATAACTTATTTGTATGTGATTGCAGTATAGCTGTCTTTGCTCATACATTCACTTGTTCATCTTTATAATCTACATTTAAATTTTATTCAATGATGTGTTTAGTTCATTTTTTTTTATTTATATATTTTTGAAGAATTATAAGTTGATTAACTTTGACTATCACCACTGCGGTCATGAAGCTACCCTTCTACAACAATTGACGCACTTTCTTTATATTCTCGTCTTTTGTGTCAAGTAACAAGGTTACATCTTCTCAGTATTTCTATTAGTAGCTCAATAAAAAATTATATGAAAGTTATTTTAGGTATTAGTTAAGAAATTAAAAGTACAAAAAAAATTTAATGAATATTGTAATAAGATTCTAAAATGTGTTTTCAAAAGCATTAGTCGAAGTAAAAATATATGACATTAAATTGAATGAAATGACTAGATTTAGAAATTGAACAATACTGAAAAAAAATCTAATATTATATATAATATAATAATATTAGAAATTGAACAATACTGAAAAAAAAATCTAATATGTGCTTAAAAAACCTTTACACAAAATTTCATAAAATAATGAATTATTTTTGTTTTCAATTAACACTTCATTTGTTCTTCTATATTAAAGTATAATTTACGAATTTTTTAATTCAATGACGAATGATATTTGTAATGTTTCGGTAAGGCAAGGGAAAAATTTTTAATTCTCACATTGTACGAAGAAAAAATAAAATAAATCGTTTTAGAATGAATTTAATTCTTACACTACATGCATTTAAAAATTCTATTTATCTATAATAAAATAATTTTATGGTAAAGTATATTTTATATTTTACTCGAATCTTATTCAAGATTATTTAAGAGGTAAAAAATCCTTAGATGCACGTTAAATTAAATATTCCAACAAAGTTCGCTAAACATTTCAACCTCGACAAATATACAAATGACCTATGTTTAACTAAAAAAATATATCAAAATGTCAATTATCTTAAACTTTCGCCAAGATTCACATGCCTCGCTCTTAAATACATTTAATAAGCAAGTTCTCAAACACGTCATGCATCAACAACTGCTCGTGGAGCGATGACAAAGGCAATTGCCAATCCCTTGGAGCGAGACCGAACACGCGATTGTGTGCGTGACAACTAAGTAGAGAATTGTACACGTTGCTTTTGAAATATGGGACATCTTAGCCGAGCCACAAAGATATTTAATGTCGGCAACTAAGCCACAATCTGTTAAGATAAACTTACCTGTTGTAAAAGTTTGTAACTCTGTAATTTGTATGTAAATTTACATGATGTACCGCAATTGATGTAAATTAATGAGCGTTACAAATTTGATAATTTTCATTTAATTAAAGAACGCTGAAAAAAAAAATATATATTGACTATCATCGAAAAATATGCTCTAGTTAATACTATGCGTTTATGCTTACGTTGCCGTATATGTAAATACGTAAAGACAATAATTTATTACTCATAATTATTGAAATTATACATAAGTGTAAAAATAATGGCAATTATGGAAATGTAATGGATAATTTATGTAAAATTTCTATTAAGTTTAAAAGTATATTAATATCGCCCCGAGTAAGTTTTATATTAGGAACGTTAGTAAAGTTAGCATATAATTTATATCGCTACAACTGTCATCAAATATAATCGATTATCACAAATCACTTGTATAATTTAACCTAATAATACAAACTGTAATTTTAGTACATAATTTCAGAAATGTACGAAATTCAACTGTCAAATTAAAAAAAGTAGGAATAAAATGTATTTAATAATAACTGTGAATAAATATTTTTACAAAATCGATTAAATCGAAAGAAATATTAATAAAGCCAGTATATAATGAATTTATAAGCATATTTAGCTGTAAATTACAACAAAATAAACGAAAACTTTTATTACGATTATTTGATTTTTCAATTGCATTGCAAATTTTCATATTTATGAAATATCACCGAATAAAATTTATACTTAAAATGAAAACATATATTTAATGTATATCAAATCAACGACTGAATATTGAAATAATTAGTAATAATTAAGGCCAAAGTTCATTACTGGTGTCATTATTAATTAAAAGAGTAAAAAAATCAAAATTATTATTTTACAATTGTTCATTTTCTATTGTATTTATGACATACGATTAAAACTTTTTAACTACTCTAATAATTTCAGCAACATCATGATATTTAATAACGCTTATGCATATTATGCAGTTTATGTCACCTAACTGTCCTTAAATACTACATAATACACTATTGTGTTGAATAACATCGGCTTTCAATTATTCAAAATTGTTGACGAAGTTACTATTGAAAATATTGAATTATACCGCACATTAGGTTACATCAATAAGTTTTGAATTTTGAAATATACAAAATTGTTAATACGTAAATGCTTATACCTTAATAGATGCTCAATTTGATGTATATATATATATATATATATCAAATACATAAAATATACGTATATATGCGTAAGCGTATTATATTATAAAGTTATAGCGTATTATATGCGTATTATAATGTTCTAAAAAATACTGTAATTATTTGATTTGTACAATTTCTCTCAATTATAATAAAATTAATTTTTCATATTTAATTATTTAATGTTTTTATTCATCATACTTTATAGCTTACGTAATTTGCAAAACTTATCAATAGGGTATTCTCATAAAATTATAAATATAATTTTAGGTGTAAAGATTATTAAAAAATAGAACATAATTTACGAATATTAAAAACAATCAACTTGTATTTGATTGAATTTGAAATTATTTGATAAATTAACTTTATTAATTCATCTTTATTGTATATAAATTTTAAATTACCTTATCCAAGTAAAACATCAAAAATAATGTTTTTAATAAAATGGAAATTTAATAAAAAATATTTCTTTTAAAACTAAAATAGTAAATTAAATTACAATTGGATATGTTGGATATGTGTGAATAATTATCATTCTTAATAATTGGAATGTAAAATTATGAATTGATGAAAATCAATTAAACGAGCTTGGACATAAAATAATGCAAAATACAAGCAATTCTAATTATAAATATACAATCAATTCGTAAATAAAATATAATGTTACATGTTATTAATTTTGAAAATATCTTTATTCACACATATATATTTTACAAATAGATATGCATACAAGAGATTCATTAGTAAACGAAGAAAATTATTTATTATTCTTTAAGCCTCGTATTGCTTGATATATGCTGATAATGTAAAATCATTTTCTTTTTATATTACGTGATATATTAATAGCCAATGCGGATTATTATGCTTTAATGTTCTTACAATGGTACGAGTGCTGGATTAAATCGATATTTGCATTGCAAAAAAAAAAAAGATTGACTATTCTCGAGAATGTGGAAGAAATATTTTAATAACTAATAACGTATCATCGATATTTTCACATATCACTCGGATGAATCGACATGCGCACAATTCATTATATAAATCCTAGATGAGGATGCTTGTTATTTTACAGCGAGTGGCAGGAAGGATAGACCGTAATGGTAAGGAGTATCTGAAGCATAAGAGCGAGAAAGAATTCCAATTCCTTGATCACGAGCTCATTAGCTGTCCCAGTTCCATTGTTGCAAAAAGATTTTACGCAGCAGGCAGTGCAGGCGTAGAGTTTCGTACGCTCGCCGATGACGATGCATCCGGGTTCGCACTTGTTGGTGCAATTGCGCTCGAGACCCCACATCATCGGTACAGATGTCGAATTCTCCGTACTCGTTGTGTAGGAAAAGCGTTTCACCTTTAGCACAATAATACGTAAAATGTATTACGAATTTTCCATGCGAAACTACATATACATACACGTGTGCATGGAACAATATTTCTTACAAATGCATTGCTGTTGCGATATTATAAGATTTATTTTCTATCTCTCACCTATGATATTAATGTTTTTCATTCAATTTTCCAAATTTACTGGTACATTGCATTGAAAATCAATCGATATATAATTCATTTATTTCCGAGATTAAAACAATATAGAATAGTTATTTACCAGTATTCTCGAAATTATTTTAATTGCATTTTAAGCCAAGTCCCAAAGATATTGATAACCATTGGATTATGGGTATGATCGTATTAAAATTTGTCGACAGTAATAAATACCATGCATGTCCGTTTATCGTCTTTGCACTTTTGAATAAGCGAACTGTGGTTTCCAGTGACATTGATACAGCTTTCACCTTCTCCAATAGTATCGCATTGATAGCACCATAAATCATCTTTTCTTTCGGATGCTTTATGTGTTCTATGCTCTTTAGACATCAGTTGGCCTGAAACGATATGTATTCCATTCAATATAATTATTTATCTCTTTTTATCTGCTTTGTATTAAGGTAATCATTTACGAACGATCATATTATAATAAATTTTTCGCTATATCATGTGTAAAATATCAACCGTAACAAACGTAAGCTAAGGAATTGTTAAAGTATATGTTAACTCAGAAAATACATGAACCCTGTTCATTTTTGAAAGTTTCCATCGCACGATTAGTGAAGCGCGCTCAATCTATTAGCAAATAATTATTTAGTAAGCTCTGGCATTTATAAACGTTGTTAATTTATTAAATTATATTAAAAATGCGGATAATTAGATCATACGATATCTTTTAATTCTATTCGTTTATTTATACTTATATGAAACGTTGTATTTCAATGAAATAAACATTGAAATTGGAATTTCGAAATTTCGATTCAATGGCTTAAGTTACCCGAGTAATATGCGCACATGATAATACAATTTCTATTCCAATTTAAAATGCATATGAATTTATGTATCGACAATCGCTTGTGCACCCTGTACCAATTGACAAAATGTCAGTCTGCTCGATTGTTTGAATGAGTGACGAATACGATTCAAAGCATTAACGATGACAAAACTTTTGACGTATTTGAAGCTAAAGTATGCTTAATCCTGCCTATTTTTCAGCACGCTATCTCGCGAGCTACGACACACAGCGATCTACGAAATTAACAGAAATGCGAAGGAATAATAAGAAACTTTGCTTCCATTCGATTATAGTTTAGTTAAATATCTAAAACAAAATGAGGAGAAAAAAAGAGAGATAAATGCAAGAAAAATTAACTCTGAGTAGAGGCTCGTATATGAGCAGGAAGGAAGGTAAAGGAGGGAATCGTAACGACTTACCGCACGAGCTGCCAGAGAGGAAGACGACCGCGAGAATCAGAAGCAACAGCCTCCAATCCACGTGTAGCATGTCGTTGGTCAAGCTCGAACCTCATCAGGACATGATGGACATCCTGAGTCGAGGGGTATTAACACCAACGGCAGCTCCATGCCGCGGGTCGCCATCTTCTTACAGCCGCACATGCGCGTACGGAATTCTCTTTTACACTAGCGCCCAAAAACCTCGGCAGCCGATGGTTGCGCGACAGCACAAGCTCTCGACCCTTCCTCTCCTCCAGAATCCTCGGAAATCGATTTTCCAAGCGACTACAAACTTCCGGATGATTTTCCCGCTCGCTGACGCATATAAGCGCACGTAGATGCGTGCGGGTGCGCGCGCGCACGCCAGTACGTACCGTGCAAGGTGAGACTGGATTTATCGATTGGAATTCCTCACCCTCGCACACTCTCTCAACATCCAGTCGAAGGCTCATTCTGGGCGCTAGATACGAAGTGGCAAGCCTTTCAATCGAATTTCATAAGTATTGACCTCATAATCCGGATGGGCTTTCAGTTATTGCACTTTTCCTCGTTGGCTTGACTAACGTAGCAAGGATTTTCGCACATCCAGTTGAAAGAGTAGTCGTGCAGTTTATGGGCTAATCAGCTATTCTTGAAACTAATGTCTAGGGTACCGGTATTGTCAATGCATATTATACTTGCAGTGAATTTAAAATTAAAGCGTTTGTAAACATTCCCGATACTTTGATTCAAAGTACACTTTTCTAAAGGATAAAAAGAATAATTTTCTTATACGTTGCTTACTGTATGAATTACCGTAGACTGGCAGAAGGATAATTCCTTAGGAAAAAATAATATGTTATTTGATATGCAAGTAGGTGAGCGTTCATAAAGATATGAATAATAAAATAATATATAAGAGCGCAAAATTTTTTTCAATGCATCAAACTCGCGAATTTTCTATTGCATTGCATTATCGCCTGTATTATACAAGAAAAAAATGAATTGTTTTCAATAATGCACAAATACATTTTAATAAGGAAACTTTTAACGATAATTTAAAAAGTCTTAAGTATTGTGATACTGTTTTAAAAAATAATCCAACTAAATTCTAATATTCGTATAAATAGAAAAGTATATAAAGTTTCTTATTATAGGTAGCTTTGTTGAAAATAAAAACTTTTCTCAATTAAATTTTCAGTCTAAATTATGAGCAAAATTTCCTATAATTAGTTTTAAAACTTTGAGCATTTAAAATTTATAATTCATTATGTTTATAATTTTTACTTGTTCTTCATTGAAAATCCTTTACTTGGACTGTTTGTTCTGTATTATTTTTTCATTGATCTTATTAAAAATTTTGCTCGTTATTATTAACAATATAATAAAAAATTTCCACATCATATTATCTTTAATCCCGTTCTGCCGATTAAATTTATGTTTGTGATTCGAGCAATTTTTATCGATGCTATCGACAAAAGAATTTCAATATCAATTGGAAATTTGAAAACAAAATTATTTAAACAAATTCATCATTACCATAAATTAAGAAAATTATACATTTAATAATTAATGTAATTGCATTAATTCCCACTATGTAATTATTCATCTTAAAGAGTAATAATATGAACGATAAACTACATAAATTGTTAGACAAAACAAAGCCTTAAACAATTTACTCTTTTCAGCTAATATAATTTTTTAATTTTACTAACACCTATAATACTATCTTACGCTCTATACTAAGAGATACGTACAATAAAGTCACAGATTACATTGATTGCGAGTATTACCGAGGAGGAGAAGAGCTACCTTTCAACACTTGTATTTAATTCCGAACTTTTACGTTTTCTATCTCTTTCCATTTTCTTCGATGACCTATCCCTTTCATTTCCCTTTTTTTTCTTCATAATATTTTCTACTTCTCTCATTATGTCTCGTTTTTTTTTCTTCTTTTTTCTTTTCTTGTGGATCAGCCAGCAAACGAACATAGAGTTTAAGGATTAGGAGCTTGATTACAAAGCCTTTGTACAGAAACGATGTATCATCTTTAAAACTTCAAAATCTATAAGTTTTTATATTTCATTAATTGTATAAAAAATAATTTGTTTCTTTGGAACAATAATGTCGGTAATCGTGCATGGTGAGAAATTTTACTGAAACGAATTTGTTTTAACAATAATATCAATCGATTAAATAGATTGTTAATATTCGCATGGATATTGAAAATATTTACAAATGTCAACGTTTCAAACATTTATTGTTTCAAATTATCACTTAAAAAAATTATCTACAATCTATAGTAATAAAATAGAAGTAGAATAATTATAGAAAAATGTGTATTACTCAGCTGTATCTTTGACAATTTTCTATATATATAACCATTCCAATAAATTCAAACCTTTCAATTACAGAATCTTAATAATAGAATTTCGAATGTTTAATATAAAAAATTAGATATTTAAAATTAAAAAGTTACGTTTTAATGCCATTTATTAAGTATTAATTTATAAATAATGAATTTTTTAATCTTAGATATCTTAAAATTATATTTTATTGTTTAAAAAAATGTAATTAGTTCTCTGAAACTTACGTAGATATAATTTTTTTTTTTTTTTTTATAAATTGTATGAAATCGTATGAATGTTAATATTGTATAATATTCATGTATTATATGTATATATATATATATATATATATATATATAAGTATTTTAAATATCTAAGATTTATTAATAAAACTGATCTTATAATCTACTTATCTTAATATTTATTTCAATTTAAAACATACTCGTCGACTTGACATATTATTAATAAAACATTTATTATACTTTTAGTTAATTTATCAAGAACGTAAAATTATATTCCAAATTAATTGTACGATTATTTTACATTATATACATATAATAATAGACTTATGTGTGTTTAAGCGTGCGTATGGGTATTTATAAATACATTTTTATTGAATTTAATATTATTACATATTTTATTATAAATCCAAAATATATATTTATATATTTTTATTTCGCTTAATGACTATCGATCAACTAAAATCATATTGTCTAATTCGTATTTTAATAACTCCGTACAAAATATTTAATCACTTAGTTTTATAATAATAGAAGCAAAAAAAAAATAATAATAATAATAAAAATATAAAATAAATATTGATTATATATCCCATTAATGTCGATAAAAAGCTTTCAAACTACAGTGTAATAACATAAAACGAAAATTAAGGTGTAAATGAGTGGAAGGCATTTCATTAGCCATTTGTAGGGATGAAAGGTGCTCATGAATCCTACGTATACTCGTATAAATCTCACGCAACCTCATGGGATTTCGTGCCGTTTTAGTAATGGTAGAAAAGTGGCACTCTATAAAGTGCATAGCGATAGTGAATCTAAATGTCAATGAAATAAATATCCATTGGGAGCTATCGCCGCTCTTGAAAGGCGATGGCAGTGACCCGAGGACAGAGACACCGAGGACTTGATTTGAACTTTGCTACGACTACGTGCTTGGTATTTAGAATTGCATCACGTGCGAAAACTCCTGCTGAGTTTCGCTCCATATCCTTTTTCTCGCTCTTGCCATCCAAGTTTTGTCCGCACTGCCATAAAACTCGATATGTAGCAGCATAAACTGATGGGCGGAATCGAGGGTGAGTCTCGTTCAAATTGTATAGGTGCCAGGAACATTTTCAAACGCAAGTTAACAGATACTTTTTCCTGTATATAAGCATTTTATCAACTAGTACACTACGTGATGACAATGTTAACTTGATAGGCATATGAAATTATCGTTAATAATATCAGTTAGCGTTAGTTAGTTATTAAGGAATCTGCGTTTCCAATTTACTTATGAGAAAATTTCAAATTAAATACAAAACTTTCTATAATTTTATATTTATAAATAATATTTAAACTTTTCAGAATTGTTAATAATCGCATACGCATACGAACAAACACACACAAACACACACATATATATATATACACGCGCGCATACACGCGCACGCAACTACGTCCACATTGAATGTAACAAATCTTTTAAAATCTCTACGAAACACTTTATCTTTGAGAGATTAAATAGTAAATCTAGAATTACCAAAATCATGATCATAAACTTTGTGCCAAAAGAGACTTTAGATCCAATTTACCAAAGTTTTACAATCTTTTTAACTGAGATAGATATACTAAAGCGATTATTGTCTAAGGAAAGTATTCCTCGTAATTATTTTCTCTTCGGTTATATTCAAATAAAAGTTATTTAACTATTCTAAATATAATATTATGAATAATTTATTAAGAGTAGTGTAAAGAAATTTAACAAACACGATTACACACAATTTATGTAGATATTACACAAATTAAAATCTAAATATTATAAGATATATGCACATACATAAAGACAGTTATCAATTGTTTTCTGTAAAGGTTACATTGATATTGTAGTAAATTAATTCATAAATTATATGCGACCAATCACTTTACTTAACCTGAATTTCAGAAAATTTTCTTTTATCTGTATTAATATGTATCAATGTATAATAATTATCACAACATAATTATATAAATAATAATTTCTATAAATCATAACAATTTTCGACTATCCATTAATACACTATTATATTCGTTAAATTTCCACTGGTTTCTTAGGTCCTGAATATTAGTGTATGAAAACCTAATCTATATATTACCTACTCCTCCATTACTATTACTACGCTGTTTTTTAAATAATTGTCTCGGATAATGCAATGAGACGTGTATAATATAAACTATCTTGGCTATTTCAAAAATTTGCAAAAAACATAACTATACATTTAATTCTACAATATTCTGCAAAATACATATATTTAATAATTTATATTGTCAAACATATTAAATACACGTGCGACTTTACATTATCTTTACATCAGTGTTTCTCAAATGCTCCAAGATTTATGTCCATATACATTGAAATTCATTTGAGCCACGACTACAGGCATAATAGTAATTTACTAACAAAATTCCTATTCAAAATTACTTATTATAATTTAATGAGTCTATTATTAAATTATACTTTAAACAATTGTAATTAATGTTTATTAATTTTTATACAAATACATTACAATTAAATAATCTATTACAAAACAAATTAAGAAAATAATGAATTATTATTATATCATAAATTAAGAATGTATTGAGAATATATTTAGGCTTATTATACCTAATAT